CTGGCGGGGCGGGGCCCAGCCAGCAAGAGGTGGGCACAGGGAGTAATTTCCTTGGCTCTGGTTCTTTGGTATCACAGCGAGAGAACGCAGAAAAACAGGTTCTTGCCGGCCTCTTTTTAAAAGAGCTGCCGTGGCATATTTAGTATAGTATACTTAGTATAGCATGCACATCATCTAACTCCCATGCTTTTGAGCCGTCTGGCATCAGAACAACCTCACAAGGGGCTGCAGTTTTCTGGTTTACATGGTTTATGGTCCATTTTTGGTGTACACAATGCATCAAGAAGCATAACAAAAACAGCCTTTGGCATAGTTAAATATTTATTTTGTAGAATCACTTTACATATGAGACAGTAGTTTGATTAAAGAGCTGCATCCTGATATATCCACACAGTCTACTGAGTTATCAACACAAGAAACCTTAAAGAAGCTTGAGCTGATTGAAGAGTTCTGTATTGCTGTGCTGGAAAACATGGTCCTTTTCCAGTTGAATGAACAACCTGCCAGCTTACAGCAAGCTGCCTCTGGAACACACCTGGCTTAGGGTGACCAGCAACTACAGTGTGAAACTGGCTTCTCAGTTTTGCTGCCATCCAAACGTTGTCACATAATCACTACCCAGTCCATGCTGTCTGTGGTAGTCATGAGGCTGCTACCAGTGGAAGAGGAAGAAAAGCTCCAGAGGAGTTCAGAATTGGTGTTGGAAGATAAAGTCCCATCAAGAGCTCATGAAATTCACAACTTGCTGCTAGAGGAGGCTGAAAATGAGAACTTGCTAAGAGTTGCCTTTTTTTTTGTTTGTTTTAAGTATTTCTATAGATACCAGGAAACTCCAGAGATCATTAAGCCATAAGATGCCCAAGTTGCAGTAAGCAAATTAATAAAGGAGGTAGTACATACTACAACCTACTATTCCACAAGTCCTCCCCTGTTTTCTGAAGCAGCCTGTCAGTACTACAGGGGTACCTGCTCTGGAACAGCCACTGTGCCAGCTGGACTAGATCTGATTCCCTCAGACATCCTTCCTCCCCTGCCTCCTGCTCACCGACATGAAGGAAAGAAGTTTAAGAACGAGATGCAGAACTGTAGCAAGTAGCAGTCAGCTTGTTTGCTCCTCAGTGGAATTAATTAAAATGATTCAGAGAAGAAAATGTACCCTGGTAAGTGTCAGCATTTGTGTTAAGGTTTGTGTTAACTGAGTGCAGGGAACTGAGGTAAACACACTGCAGGCATGTGCCTACATGGCACCACTTCTCATCTGGCAGGAAGTTAAGCAACCAGCTGCAGCCCCCAGTGCAGCTCAGCACAGCTGTTCAGAGATCTGAATGTTTTGCTAGGTCTGCATTCTAGCTGTTAATCATAGTCCCAGGTTATACAATGTCATTCTATTTTTCTCCCCTTAATTCAGTCTCAGACTCTAGCACTAAACCAGCAAGCATTTTATGAAGTTTGTGAGAGTAAAAAGTGGTTCTGCAAAGTAATTTTTTATGCTCTTCTTGATGTAAGGTAGGGATTGCACATGAAGTCTGGACTAACAGAAAAGTAAACATGGAGCCTCGTCCACTTTCAAAACTAAGCTTGCTTTATTTAAAAAGCAGCGGCATGATACTGCTACAGCACTGAACTTGTGCCTTTGTGTAAGTCCAGTCTCCTTTTAGTGATTGTATGAACTATTTATTGAAATATTAAGATGTAGAGTAGAAATAAACACTGATCTAGACCTTTAGGTAATCAAGAGAGTACCTGAAGAAGCTGAAGTGGAGTAACCACAGTCATAGAACTAAAGGTCCTCAACAGATACCATCAAAACCTTCCTCAGGGCATTACAGCTATCTAGCATTGCTCCTCCCTCACCAGCAGCAGAGGATCCAGCACAGCTCCAGACACAGGGTGTGCTCCCCTAGCCAGTCAACACACTGTGGGCAAAGCAGGGAAAATATTATCATCTAGTCTGGCAAATACTCTTATTAGATATCAAGGACTTGGCAGACCACCATATTGATCAACCACAGCAATTCAGTTGGCAAGAGAGTGAAGTCTGACAATCACCTCCATGGGAGGTACACAAGGACTATAGGGGAGAATGTGCACAGTAAGCAAATCCTATCCAGTCCTGAATAAGCTCACCCTTACCCAGGGTTTTCCCATCACAAAGGCTTTCAGCCCCGTTTACCCTAGCGATTCCAGGATTTCTGTTGCTTACAAACAGACTCAGGTGGAGTTTTAATATGGCAGGCCACAGCAACTCTCAAATAATTCTGTTCTCAAGAAAGACAAGTTAAACCTTCCCCTCTCTTGTCACCATGGGGACTACAGTCTGCTATAGCGCTCCAGCTTCAAGATAATGGCCTCTAAAAGCCCCTAACAGTAGTGAGAATGTTATCATTCCCTACTGTATGTGCCTAGGATGTGTCCAAGCACAGATTCACTTGACATCAACAAAAGTGTGAACTGACTAGTACACATGTGACTGTAGCTGTTATATGAAAAGCCACTGAACAAAAGAACAAGGATTCTTCTCAGAATATCCCAGGCTGCAGCTGAACAAACCATACCTTCTTGCTTTTGTAAATGAGTCTGTCTGCCTCCTTTGTAGATAACTCTGGTGATCTCCCAGAAGAAGAAAAAAACAACCAAAGAAGTCCACAACTTGTGTCTTATGCAAACTAGGTAAGATACAGATGTCAACGACTGGTCAAGGATTATGACATCTTCTTAGCAGGGCACCAGATAGTGTCTGGATAGAGCAGACAATGGACAGATTTAAATCTATGAAGAAAAAAAAAATCAAATTGAAATTCTCCATACAAGGGAAGTACCAGCACTGAATATGCAGCAGTCTCATAGAGCAGAGAGGGTGGGTCTATCTGCTTTTGGCACAGCAACAAGAGCTGACTGAAAAAATAACCCCACTAGTGGGTTTGATCTTCTTACAGTTGATAAACATAAGCAAGGCAGGAGATCTTGTTTTGGAAGTGGATACTCACCGGGTTGGATCTTGCTGAAGACCAAATGCTCCTCCCACACTCACAACATTGTGTTTGTTCTCAGGATCCCCATAACTTAGAGTTACCTGTTAAAGTAAATAAACATTCAGAACCCATGCTTTTGAGCCGTCTGGCATCAGAACAACCTCACAAGGGGCTGCAGTTTTCTGGTTTACATGGTTTATGGTCCATTTTTGGTGTACACAATGCATCAAGAAGCATAACAAAAACAGCCTTTGGCATAGTTAAATATTTATTTTGTAGAATCACTTTACATATGAGACAGTAGTTTGATTAAAGAGCTGCATCCTGATATATCCACACAGTCTACTGAGTTATCAACACAAGAAACCTTAAAGAAGCTTGAGCTGATTGAAGAGTTCTGTATTGCTGTGCTGGAAAACATGGTCCTTTTCCAGTTGAATGAACAACCTGCCAGCTTACAGCAAGCTGCCTCTGGAACACACCTGGCTTAGGGTGACCAGCAACTACAGTGTGAAACTGGCTTCTCAGTTTTGCTGCCATCCAAACGTTGTCACATAATCACTACCCAGTCCATGCTGTCTGTGGTAGTCATGAGGCTGCTACCAGTGGAAGAGGAAGAAAAGCTCCAGAGGAGTTCAGAATTGGTGTTGGAAGATAAAGTCCCATCAAGAGCTCATGAAATTCACAACTTGCTGCTAGAGGAGGCTGAAAATGAGAACTTGCTAAGAGTTGCCTTTTTTTTTGTTTGTTTTAAGTATTTCTATAGATACCAGGAAACTCCAGAGATCATTAAGCCATAAGATGCCCAAGTTGCAGTAAGCAAATTAATAAAGGAGGTAGTACATACTACAACCTACTATTCCACAAGTCCTCCCCTGTTTTCTGAAGCAGCCTGTCAGTACTACAGGGGTACCTGCTCTGGAACAGCCACTGTGCCAGCTGGACTAGATCTGATTCCCTCAGACATCCTTCCTCCCCTGCCTCCTGCTCACCGACATGAAGGAAAGAAGTTTAAGAACGAGATGCAGAACTGTAGCAAGTAGCAGTCAGCTTGTTTGCTCCTCAGTGGAATTAATTAAAATGATTCAGAGAAGAAAATGTACCCTGGTAAGTGTCAGCATTTGTGTTAAGGTTTGTGTTAACTGAGTGCAGGGAACTGAGGTAAACACACTGCAGGCATGTGCCTACATGGCACCACTTCTCATCTGGCAGGAAGTTAAGCAACCAGCTGCAGCCCCCAGTGCAGCTCAGCACAGCTGTTCAGAGATCTGAATGTTTTGCTAGGTCTGCATTCTAGCTGTTAATCATAGTCCCAGGTTATACAATGTCATTCTATTTTTCTCCCCTTAATTCAGTCTCAGACTCTAGCACTAAACCAGCAAGCATTTTATGAAGTTTGTGAGAGTAAAAAGTGGTTCTGCAAAGTAATTTTTTATGCTCTTCTTGATGTAAGGTAGGGATTGCACATGAAGTCTGGACTAACAGAAAAGTAAACATGGAGCCTCGTCCACTTTCAAAACTAAGCTTGCTTTATTTAAAAAGCAGCGGCATGATACTGCTACAGCACTGAACTTGTGCCTTTGTGTAAGTCCAGTCTCCTTTTAGTGATTGTATGAACTATTTATTGAAATATTAAGATGTAGAGTAGAAATAAACACTGATCTAGACCTTTAGGTAATCAAGAGAGTACCTGAAGAAGCTGAAGTGGAGTAACCACAGTCATAGAACTAAAGGTCCTCAACAGATACCATCAAAACCTTCCTCAGGGCATTACAGCTATCTAGCATTGCTCCTCCCTCACCAGCAGCAGAGGATCCAGCACAGCTCCAGACACAGGGTGTGCTCCCCTAGCCAGTCAACACACTGTGGGCAAAGCAGGGAAAATATTATCATCTAGTCTGGCAAATACTCTTATTAGATATCAAGGACTTGGCAGACCACCATATTGATCAACCACAGCAATTCAGTTGGCAAGAGAGTGAAGTCTGACAATCACCTCCATGGGAGGTACACAAGGACTATAGGGGAGAATGTGCACAGTAAGCAAATCCTATCCAGTCCTGAATAAGCTCACCCTTACCCAGGGTTTTCCCATCACAAAGGCTTTCAGCCCCGTTTACCCTAGCGATTCCAGGATTTCTGTTGCTTACAAACAGACTCAGGTGGAGTTTTAATATGGCAGGCCACAGCAACTCTCAAATAATTCTGTTCTCAAGAAAGACAAGTTAAACCTTCCCCTCTCTTGTCACCATGGGGACTACAGTCTGCTATAGCGCTCCAGCTTCAAGATAATGGCCTCTAAAAGCCCCTAACAGTAGTGAGAATGTTATCATTCCCTACTGTATGTGCCTAGGATGTGTCCAAGCACAGATTCACTTGACATCAACAAAAGTGTGAACTGACTAGTACACATGTGACTGTAGCTGTTATATGAAAAGCCACTGAACAAAAGAACAAGGATTCTTCTCAGAATATCCCAGGCTGCAGCTGAACAAACCATACCTTCTTGCTTTTGTAAATGAGTCTGTCTGCCTCCTTTGTAGATAACTCTGGTGATCTCCCAGAAGAAGAAAAAAACAACCAAAGAAGTCCACAACTTGTGTCTTATGCAAACTAGGTAAGATACAGATGTCAACGACTGGTCAAGGATTATGACATCTTCTTAGCAGGGCACCAGATAGTGTCTGGATAGAGCAGACAATGGACAGATTTAAATCTATGAAGAAAAAAAAAATCAAATTGAAATTCTCCATACAAGGGAAGTACCAGCACTGAATATGCAGCAGTCTCATAGAGCAGAGAGGGTGGGTCTATCTGCTTTTGGCACAGCAACAAGAGCTGACTGAAAAAATAACCCCACTAGTGGGTTTGATCTTCTTACAGTTGATAAACATAAGCAAGGCAGGAGATCTTGTTTTGGAAGTGGATACTCACCGGGTTGGATCTTGCTGAAGACCAAATGCTCCTCCCACACTCACAACATTGTGTTTGTTCTCAGGATCCCCATAACTTAGAGTTACCTGTTAAAGTAAATAAACATTCAGAAATCATAACACACTAACGCAAAAAACCAGTGGAGACGGTGTGATTAATGATGAGCTATGAAGAAAAAAAAAGGTTCCTTTCTAATCTGAATGGTGGATCACATTTGAAAAACAGTGATTAGTTTTGACAGAAGCAACATTGGCAGCTGTCTCAGGAACCACTGCTCATCTAAAGGCAAAGCAGGAGAATAAACAAGGGAGCTGGAAGTTGCATTGCCATGAAGGACAATATGAGCTGTAACTGTAAGCTTTGTAAGGGCATTAATGCTGCTAATATCTGCACCTTCACTAAAAAACAGTGTTCATCCTCACCAGACACTGCCTGCTGTCTGCAGGAGTGCTGTCTTATCACACAGGGAAAACAGGAAACGTGGATGTTAAATGGTATGCAAAGGACTGTGTGTGACAAACCTGGCAACAACGTGTAGATCCCTGAACTCCTGTTCAGTGCTATTCGTCCACATAAGCACTGTTTTAAGAAACGTTCAGGTGCCAGGTACAAGATAATAAATCTTTTTAATTGCAGATTTCCTGGATTTGGGGTTAGCTGATACAGTGTCAGGGAAACAATGCTCGCTGGGGAAAGGCTGCATTCAGCCTACAGTGAGATTCACTGACATGAAGGAAGTTACATCACGCTGGAATTTGGCCTCAACTGTGCATTTCTGCTACCTAATACAATTGCCAGGAAAATACCACCAAGCAGTCTTCGAGGGCAAAACCACACTCGTTGCCAAACGTAAGAGGCAGCAAAGCTTCTGCACAGCCTTACATCGCCATCTGCTGCCCACAAGTAAAAAGGTATCACAGCAATTAAAAGACTACTTGATTTTTCCTAAGAAACATTAAGTTTCTTGAAATTCAGACAACTTTTCTTAAAAATGATAAAACATTTCGCATGTCTTACTTATTGAAAAAGTACTTGCTATAGCTGAGACACTAGTCTTTTTGAATAGCATGAATTAACACTGAGACTGCTAAGCAAAGACAAATACTTTCTTACCTGGCAGGCAAACTCAACATTGCCTCGTTCTGCCATCACTGCTGCTGTGACTCATGGAAAGTCTGGGTTTAGGAGATGGGGAACACCATGCTTAGGCTTAGTATTTGGCCCCAGAGGAGGGGACAGCTATATGACCTAATTGGCTAGAGTCAAAGTGTGCCTTTTTTCCTGAGTGAAGGATTTGGACAGGACACACCCCTGAGCAAGTCTGCAGACATCCCTCTTTGCTGTAGAGTGCTGAGCCTGCAGAACATATCCCCTCTGTTCAGACTGAGGGGTAACTGTAAGAACAGGACACGAAGCTCAGCCCTACCTGCTGCAGCACAGACTCGCCTTGTAGTCTCTGCAGGTTTTCCAGGTGGGAATGGAACAATGGGCTGTGCAGCAGCTTCACCTCCAGCAGCCCCTCGATGATGTAGCCAATGGTGCAGTCATCAGGGAGACGCACCCGTTCTGCGGTGCTGATGAAATTACCCAGGCTGTGAGACAGAGCACAGGAGGGGAGACAACGTGCTTCAAAGGCAACAAACACATTGATGGAGCTCAGCTAGGAACAATGTTTACCTGGCCCAGGGACTCATCTTCAGGGCAAGACCTCTGCTGATACAGAACCCTGCTCCACCTGTGGCAAACCAGAATTTCACAGTTGTCTTCTGAAGAGCAACAAGAAAAACACACAGTAGTTAGGAACAGTCAGGTTTTTCCATTTGTCAAGGCAGGGAAGGAAACCTGATATTCTGTTGGGTATCACATACTGCACTTGAGTCAGAACTGGACTACAGATTAATTCCTTTTCCTTAAGGCTGCTGGAGGTCCAGCTAGCGGTTCTCTCAAGGGAAACTATCTTAAAACTGACAGCAGGTGAACCATCAGGTTAGCATAACTGAAGTAGCAACACATGAAATGGGAAACTACAATTCAGCTCCAACTCAATTCCATGTGTGCCCTGGTTATTCTAGCCAAGGGTCACAGCCAGCTCAGCGTTCCTGAGGAAATCAAAGGTGGTCCATTAGTCACTTGGCCCCATGTCCAAGGAGACTATTTTGTTGTGCAGTGTTTTGTTTAAAAAGCTGCTTTGTAACTGACTTCCTGGTGAGGATTTGTCCTTTAGCACACCTATCTTGCAACTGAGATAAGTTTGCTTAAACTTCTTGAAAACCTAGTAATCACTGCTTGAAATTCCTTGTATTCCAGAGAGCCTTTGTTACCCATCTGAGGTTGGTTCGAGACAATGACAATATCATAACTGCTCTCAAAACAAATCAACCCAAACCCCAAAACCTGGGACATTCTCCCCAAAAACCACTAAAGAGAAAGAAAACATCAATGTGGGGAGACCCTACTCACCTCAGTGTGAGATCACCAACATACATGAGCAAAGGAAGAGAAACAGACATCCACCCAGGAGAAAAACTCTATTCTGCATAGGATATGAGATCAAAGGTTCATTTCACCTAGCACCCTCTCTCTGAAAATGACCAGTGCCAGGTTCATTGTTTGCAGATTAAATCCTTTGTTTTTAAGGGGGAATCCTACAAGCTCTCAATGTTTTAAAAGCTTAGAAGGTCAGGATGTTTCTCAGACTAACTGCAGTTTTCTTACTGATCCATCACTTTGAGCATGGTCAGCTGCTTCGATGGGATGATCCAGACTCGGTCGCCCTACGTAGACATCCTGGCTGTGGGAGAAGGCGGACAAGAGACGCAGGAGAGTCCGAGGGTTCACATAGTTGTCATCATCCACATGGCAAAACCATCTTCAAACAATACAAAATACGGAAGTTACTGCAGAGCAAGGACAAATAAACGAGTTACAGATTTACAGCCAAGCTTTAGTCTCTCAGGCTTGGTGCAGAACACATTTCCCATAGTCCTAAATCACTGAATTTTGAAGCTGAAAGCACTCACAGATCCTAATTCTGGAAAGGGGCTGAAGTTAATAACCCCCTTTAGATTATTGTCCTTTCCACCTTTTAGATGATGCTTGTTTATAAACTGCTGCACGCTGTGCTCCCTTCCCTATGCTCATCACCACATTTTAGCTACATTTCTTACTGGAGCAGAGAAGGTTGCTCAAGCTTCCTGTGAACACAGAACTAGAAGAAACAAAGTCCATCAGAACAACATATTTCACCTACTTTTGCCCAGATTCCAGGAATTTATCATATTCCACAGACATCTTGCAGCAGAGAGCTTGTCGGGTATGGACAGCAGAACAGTTGGTGTTGATCAAATGATCCCCTAGAAAAAGAAAGATCAGCCTTTCCAGGTCTGAGAATCATGTGTAGTCCAAAAAAAGACTACAAAAGCAGTGCATATCTGGCACCAATGCTGCACATCTGAAGTGTGTGTGGTGCACACGTGGAGGAAAGTGCAGACCAGGGCTGTGCACATAGCAGGCAAGCTGTGGAGCACATAAAAATGTGAGAGTGCAGGGACATAACCAGAGTGGTGAGACTGTGCACAGGGAACACCCAACACAGCTCTGGAGCAGAGGCACTGAGGCTCACAGGAAGGGAGCTTGAGGGTGAACCTAGTATTCAAGAAGTTCCAGGTGCTAAGTAGGAACAGCACATTCTCCATTTTCTGCATCTTAACTCTCCTAATTGCTTGTGCAGCATGAATTAAGGACTTCTAGGGAAAGCAGGCCCAAACCCCGTCAGGCAGCACACACCTGCGCACAGCTCACCTGCTTTCAGGCGCAGCTCCCGATCTTCCCAGTCTGTGAATATAAACGTCTGTGAGAGACAAAAATGGGTTGAGGGAAAAGTGTGTCCACGTTTGAGAACTTCAGAAACAAACTCCTACTTTGCTCAGTTTCAGTCAGAATTGTGAATGTTTTGTCAGTTTATTTCTCTGTAGCCATTGGAAGTGGGGTGGGGAGTGGTTGTAGAGAGAACACCAGCAACTTCACCCCCCTTGCCTTTTTGGTAAGTTTTTGCAAACCAGGAAGACTCTAATTTCAGGAAAGCATCCAAGATTCTACTCTCCTTTCATTTCAGGGTACAGACAACACATTTCCAGATAGGAATAACTGCCTTTTTTGGAAGCACTTCCCTCTGCAACTTGACCTCCTGTCTCTGGCTAGGAGTCAACAGCTGTTAAGGAAGGTGAAAGGAAAGAATGAGAATCAGGGTAGGAAGTGCCAGGTGGTAGCACTGTCCTGTCACAAATGCCGGACAAAAATTATGTTAATTTAGAATTATAGGATGGTTTGGGTTGGAAGGGACCTTAAAGATCATCTAGTTCCACACCCCCTGCCAGACAAGGAGAGAAATCCTACATTGTTCTATGGAAAAACTGAAGTTGTTGAACTAGTTGGTCCAAAATATTGGCTTAAATGCACCAGCACTAGGGATCTTTCACTATCATGTCTTCTATTGCACAGTGATACAAAAGTCAGCAAGCTCGTTTGCTAGGACCAGAGACCCCAGATTGTCAGCAATGAGTTTAATCAACAACCAGCTCATTTGGAGGTAGGTTCGGATGACCTCTTTAACAAAGATGACCTCTCTCAGTCTTACGAGGAAAGATCTTTTTAATACATGCAAGGAAAAACTCGGTGAGAAAGTGTAGCAGCTGCCGGGAAAAACAGAGGGACCAGCTCCGGGCCGCCCCAGCCCCTGGCGGAGCCTCACCTGTCCCCTCGCCCGGGAGATCCAGGTTTGGAGGAGCAAGTCCAGCCGGCTTCTGTGGTACTTCCTCGTGGTCTTCACCGCAATGAAGATGTCCTTCAGCTCCAGGCTCTGCCCGGCCGAGCCCCCGGCCAGCCCCGGGCGGCCCTTCCGCGCAGGTTGCGGGCTGCCGGTGAGGGCTCG